TCATACATTTCGCCAGAATAAACTATCTTTTTAAAAAGTGCCCTGTACACTGTGCAGTTATAGAGGTTAGTCCATTTGTCATATAAAAACCCAATGATATGTTGCTGAAATTTGCTTCTTCTGGAATTTAAAATTATTTTAAATCTGAATGCAAATATTTTTATTATATCATAAAATATTGCTTCATCAAAGTGAGGTTCCAGGACTCCATATACTTCTCTGAACTTCTAAAGTTCATTATTTGATAGGGTTAGATCAAATTTAAAGGCCTGAGTGTTCAGTAAAGATCTTAGATACCTAGAGAGAGAAAGAAGGAAACTGAGACTCTTTTGAGTCAATATGTTCACAAGAAACATACTGAAAATAACAAGCATAGGCAGAAAAATAGACAAGTTATAATTCAGAAAATGGAAATTTTGGCATAAATATCTGAGAGTCATTGTGGACCACAAGTTGAATATTAGTATGCAAAATAGCAATGAAAACACAAAGCCATATTAGAATGTGATCATGAGAATATGACAGACAAATCTGTTGAAGTTATATACCATGACTTATACACTATCTTTTGCCAAAGCACTAGGCATTCCTAGGATATCATGTTAGCAGTGGTTAAACAGAACCAGATACTTGTATCTTTCATGGTATGGAAAGACCTCTCTGGCCTGGAGCTCTGCCTTTAAAATTATTGGCATAGTTCAGAAGGCAAATACTTGTTAAAGGGACCCTAAAAGGCAAGAGAAGGGCAGTTTTTGTTATACATTAAGGCAGCCTTTCAAACATAAGACCCAAAATTCAGTAATAAATGTCTGGTTAACCTCATTTCCCCTCAGTTTATGTGAGGGTAGTAAAATATAGCTTTTATTCTTTGTTTCTTTCCTGGAATAAAATAGCAGATGTCCTGAGCAAGCTGAAGACTCCCAATTTGCTAGATTTCTTTAAAGGTCAGAATTAGAACGTTAAGGATTAAATGGAGATTGATTTTATGCGAGTGGGAGTGGTCAATGGGCTCTTCCGCCTTTTGTGTTATTGCTTTTAGCACAAGGATGTCAACAAATAATCACACAGAACATCACTTATATATATAGTGACCTCCTAAGGTCACAAGGCTTGTCCCAGCTTGTCAGGAGAGAATGCTGAGCATGATGAGCGATAGCTGCCACAGGCTGAGATATTCCTATTCTGTTTGCTTCAGATGACCTTAAAGATCTCTGAGACATAGAAGGGTGATAGAGGACCCCCCAACCTGCACACGCTCCCTACCCACATATCCTATGCAAGGGAGGTCTGGTGGATAGCTGCCACAGGCTGAGATATTCCTATTCTGTTTGCTTCAGATGACCTTAAAGATCTCTGAGACATAGAAGGGTGACAGAGGACCCCCCAACCTGCACACGCTCCCTACCCACATATCCTATGCAAGGGAGGTCTGGTGAAACAAGAATGAGCTTTAGGGAAATGTTAACAAGTACAGGTGATGTCAGCAGAGAAGGAAAATATTTGTTCTTTTATTGAACAGCCCTAGTTCCTCTGAGAAGTTCCCAAGGGTGACTGGGCCAGGCCAAGTCAGGGTCTACATGTCACCAAATAACATCTCATCAGGATGGTGGACTCTCTCACTGTGTCTTCTTGGCAGTGAGAAACAAGCTTTCCCAACCCTCTGGGATGATGTATACACTGAAATACTTGCCTTGCATGTCATAACTCCCTGAGAAAAGTTCCTGCGAATGCAGTTTCCCTGTCAGAAGACTTGAATATTAGGAGAAATCTTCCAAAGCTAGTTAAGTAATAAGGTAATCCAGAAGGAAACCATAGGTAAAACAGCTTCCTGATCTAAACCCTAGGAATGATGCGGAAAGGTATCAAGAACTGGGCCTGGCCGGAGCCAGCAGAGTCAGCCAGCGTGGGCTAAGAGCAGCGAGCGCCTGTTGCTAGAAGGGAACGCATCACACGACTCCCTCTGCAGCGTCAGAGGCAGCGGTGGATGGCGGCCAACCTTTTCCTAGCACTTCTTCCAAGTATAGGTGATGCCATCATTAGGAAGAGTGGGCGTTGGAAGAAACAGCAAAAGGTGCTGTGTCTACAGTGATTTGAAATTAATTAAATTTGTATCCTCTTCATCCTCTGTTGGCAGGCCCAGCAGGATCCCTCGGGGGCTGCTTCTCTTGGAAAACATTAGCACCATTCAGTTTTAGGATTCATTGTCACTGTAAAAAAAACAGAACAATAGTATATTTCCAAGAAGCTATCGAGAACTGGTCACTCCGTTATGGAGGTGACTCAAGAGAGCACAAACAGTCAGGAAGCCAACACTGTCCAGCTTACAATTTCCAAAACAAAGATCAGTTTGAATTTTATGTTTGATCCCTGAGGAGGAAATCCACGAAAGCCAAGAAATAATCCCTAGCTCTTACTTTAATATCCCTCCCAGTGCTGATATGGAGAGAACCAGATGGAGTTGGAGGTTCCCCTCTTTAATTAAATCTAATCCCATTCTCTACGAATAGATGCCAAATTGCCTTTAAAAAAATTTTTTTTTCCATGTGTTGTTTTCCCTCAAGAGTTTGTGGTCCTGCATGCTTGCTTGCTTTTTTTTTCTCTGTTTTTATTCCTGCATGTTTTCTTTTTTTTTTTTTCCTTTTTGTCTTTTTTCGTGACCGGCAACGGATCGCAACCC